ATCATTTGTTCTCTTGATCTTAGCCAGTCTGACTGGGGTAAGATGAAATCTTAAAGTGGTTTTAATTTCCATTTCTCTAATTTTTAGTGATGTTGAACATCTTTTGAGATGTTTCATAGCCATCTTTACTTCTTCTTTTGAGAACTCTCTGTTCAGCTCCTTAGCCTATCTTTTAATTAGGTTATGTCTTGATTCTATGTTTTTTGAGTTCATTATATATACTAGATACTAAACCTCTGTCAGATGTGTCACTGGTGAAGATTTTCTCCCATTCTGTGGGTTTTCTGTTTGCTTCCTTGGTTGTCTCCTGTGCTGGATAGCTTTAGTGTCAACTTGACAACCTGGGTTGAGGGAGCCTCAATCAGGGAATTGCCTCTGTTAGACTGGCCTGTGGCCATGTCTGAAGGGCATCTTCTTGATGAGTGATGTGGGAGGACCCAGCTCACTGTGGGTGGTGCCACCCCTGGGCAGGTGGGCCTGTTACATTGAGGTCTTTGAGCCATTTGGAATTGACTTTTGTGCAGGGTGAATCATAGGGGTTTAGTTTCATTCTTCTACAAGTGGAGATCCAGTTTTGCCAGTATCATTTACTGAACATGCTGTCTTTCCTCCAGTGAATATTCTTGGCCCCTTTGTCAAATATCAGGTGGCTGAAATTGCATTTACTCATATTTGGGTCTTCAATTTTGTTCCATTGGTCTATATGGGGGGGGTGTGCTCTCTCTCTGGGCGCACGGGGTCCCTGCGTGCACCTGGCTAGTCGCTGGCAGGTCTGGCCACAGGCGTCTCTGGCCGTGGCTGTGGATGCCCTGCAGGCTTCTCCCGGCGGCTCGAGTCCTGAGTCTCTGGTGCAGACAGCTTCCTCTGCTACTGAGGCATTGTTCAGCTGAAATCCCGTCTCTATTTCACCCATGTACTATTCCTCAGGATGCGAGGTTCCTGGCCACAGAACCATGCTAGTCGCTGGCAGGTCTGGCCACAGGCGTCTCTGGCCGTGGCTGTGGATGCCCTGCAGGCTTCTCCCGGCGGCTCGAGTCCTGAGTCTCTGGTGCAGACAGCTTCCTCTGCTACTGAGGCATTGTTCAGCTGAAATCCCGTCTCTATTTCACCCATGTACTATTCCTCAGGATGCGAGGTTCCTGGCCACAGAACCATGCAGGGAAGAGTACGGAGACGGTGAAAGCTAGGGTGTCCGTAAGCCGGTCACAAGGGAGTGCGCCCCCCAGAGAGATTGGGCCACCAGTAATGACACAAGACTCAGGTCTTAGTCTGTGTTACAGCTTTATTCTCTGAGACCCAGCTCCCTGTGTCCCAGCTCTCTGCGACCCAGTTCTCTGCAGCCCGAATCTCTGCAGCCCAATTCTCTGACCATTAAGAGAAGACTAAGGCATTTATACCATGGGGGTAGTGGTAAAAGCTTTGGCTGTTAGATGCTTTGTGAGGCATTCTATTTACATATGGAAGTGGATTTCTGCCACACTGCTAGACTGTTGTCTGCCTGGTAGTTAGGCATTGGGGTAGGTGGGACGAAAGTTAAACTTGTTTCAGGACATAGTATCTGGTCCTCTGCCTTTCCTTTAAAATGACATTGTAAATTAGCACAGACTTGGCTGCAGCTGTAGGCTGTTGAGAGACATGAAGGTTAGCTGTGGGGTACCTAGAGAATACATCTGAGAAGAATTTTGTTATTATTTCAGCGATTGTCCCATGGATCTGATTCTTTCCTAGAAAAATAAAATCTCTAGAACATGGTATTAGGGAGGGTGGGGGCTGTCTGAAGTGTTGGTGTTGAGCAGGGTAAAGACAGCCATGAGAATGACAGAGAAGGAGGCTCCAGGGGGACATCTGTGG